TTATTTATTTATTTGTTAGCAAAATCAGTTTTCTATAATTACCAATGATTTCTTAGATTTGTATTTTAATGCCAAGAAAAAATTTTTTAATAAATAAATTTTAATAATAAATTAACTTACAAAACCTGTGTTAAAAAAGTTAAATGTAGTTACATTTTTAACAAATCAAGTAAAATTACTCTATTAATCAGTAATCGGTTTTTGATGAGTTTACTTAAGTTCTTTATTTATTAGATCTTTCATATTTTCTTGCTGTGCAGACATTTGCCGATTGAGGTCAGTTAATGACTGCGAGTATCTGAATCGCCGAGATGCATTTGGGCGCGTGCTAAATGCGTCTATTAGCCGCAGTTCCTCTGCCAAAGTAATGCATTGCGTATATGCCTTAATGCCATTTCCATTTCCAAACCCATTCAGACTGGGATTCCGATTCCGATGCGAGAGGCCCATTAGGTGAGGTGTCCATGTGCCATGCCCAGGTAGCCGAAATGTTTTGTGGCCATTAGCTGGGAATGGGAAGTGAGACTTGTGGACTGCGACTTTGAATGAGGATCCTCTCACAGCACGAGCTCGATAAGCAATGTCTGAGTGCCTGGCGACGCCCTAGCACTTCCCAATTCCCGATTCTCGATTCTGGATTCTTGATTTTAAAGGAGGGTTTATTATGAATATGCGACGGATGTATCAAGGCTGAGGGTTGAATGCCTTTTTGTTGATGTTAATGTGGCTGTAATTTGCCAGGCGACTGCACGGGGGCAGCGCCGATTAGGTTACCATTCTAGCTAATATTTTATGGGCTAAGAATTCACTGGAACTGCCACTTGAAAACGGAAGCGGAAACTGTAAAAAATATTTAGCTTATCACTGGTCCGCAAAAAAAAAACAATCTATTTAGAAATCTCAAAAGTTTATTTTTAAGCATTAAAGAAAGAAAGGTTATCGCCACCGAATTGTGAAAGTATCCTGTTAGCTCATATATATATTTGAATTTAAAATTAAACATTAAAAAGTACAAAAAGAAGAATTATCGCAACTAAATTGAGAAAGTTTCTGGTTAGTTAATACATTCATAGCTGTATGTACTTAGAGCTATATGAAATGCCTACATAATTTAAATTTAAGCATTAAACAAAAATAAAGTATATGGTTATTAAAATTATATTTACTTTTCTGATAAAAATTTCAAAATAAAGAAATATAAAAATTAAAACCAGTTCAAAAATATTTTCTGCTAATTTATTTAAGGAATCGTATAAATAAATTTACACTTTAACCGTTTCCAGCAAACATTTATCAGTACTGCGTTTTCCCATTCACATTAAATTTACTTTGATCTCGATTCAGTGTTTGTTCGTCATTTGTATCTTGAAGTTTCAATTACATTATAATTATATGTATATTTCACTTCAAGTGCTTAACCGACGTTCGATTTATTTAAGTCCACACAACTTGAATACGTACTTAATTATTTACTTGGCGATATGATCGCTTGAATAATGTTTACATTGATTAAAGTTTTGATCACGTCATTGGAGCGACGTCATCGATTCGCCAATAAGTCATTGAGTTCCCAGAATTACATTTAAATTTCTGGGTATCGAATGAATAAGCCAAGAAAGTTGTGGGTATACCAAATACCCATATTTAAAAGCACAGAAAATATTCCCCATATAAGGTTCAAATGGCTCTATAAGGTATTAATCATATCCTAAACCATTTCCGCTACAATTATTATCAAGAAAAGTGCACGTGCAATTTCGAATAAAAAGCTTTTTTACCTCAGGGGCTTAAATGTATTTCAGGGACAAGTGCTTTAACACTTTCCCATCTATTGATAGAAAAACAAATCCCAATTAAACAATCGCATTCGAAATCCAAGAGACCTTCACTCGAAAAACAGCTGATTATCGGGTCTGCTAATGGGCTACACTATTTATATATAGACATAGGGAGGCGGAGAAGGCGTGGCTAGTTGCACTTTAAGTGATTAAGAAAACTTAATGAGTTTGTTGTAGAACCGTTTTGCACTGAGAAACGAGGCAGAAAACAAATCGAGCGACGCTCATTAAAAAATTAAGCATACGGAATAATAACAGATATGGCAACAATAAAACCTAAACGACTGCAAATTAAAGTTGTTAATTTCGAGCGGTTAATTGTTTTTGTAATATTTAATAACAACAAAACAGAGAGAGAGGGCCACGATATTGCCTCCAGAAATAAACAATACACCAAGTTCAAGGGCAGAACTCTTAAACAAAACATAAAAGTTCCCATTTCCTATGAGCTTAATAGCGACAAAAGAGTTCCCCAAGTACTTTTGATTTCTACAACATCTCTTTCCGGGGAAATCGATATAAAATTCGGTGAAACAAAGATAGTTTTATAGTATTGCTTATCTTTGTGAATGACCTAAAAACGGTATTTTAATGGGAAAAACCATAATAATTTTTCCAATTCTATGGAAGGGATGTTTGTGTTGTGCGTGCAATAAAGTAATTCTTTACTGTTTGATATTAATTATTCATATCACTTGGCTTCATTTGACATTCAACTTGCTTTTTATAATCATAAAACTACGTTTCTGCAATTTTTTAACTTCTCAAAATCTGGTACATATTTTTGAATATTTTAAATTACGTAAAACACACATTTTAATGAAATCTTACTTAAACTCTATTCCAAGTAAAAATTTAGCAAAGATTTTTTCTCATATCAAACCCAATTCCAAATAAAAATCGTGTTCATATGCAAGTGCTAAACAAATTGTGATAACTCCTCAACATTTTCGACACAGGCGACGAAATCTTATTCTTATAGTGTGTATCTAAAGATGTTATTTACCACCATTCTAAATAAAAAACATTTTCGTAGTTCGAACACAATATTTTTATAATATTTTATTGTCTGTGGAAAACGTATCTCTAATCAATCATACATTTATAGCTATATGTAGCTATCTATTGAAAAACCGCCACTTAATGTGATTCAGCCCCTGTTTGAGAATCTCCGTGGCATCTTATTGATTAGGTGATTGGCCTGATTGATAAGAAACCATATGACCCATAGGAATCCAACGAACCTAACCAATGTGAATCTATTTGGCCTAGTCATACCGACGAAGGCCGCAGATAAGTGGCGAAAATCACCCCCCAATATCCCCCTTTCCGAACCTAAACACACATTGTATTATTATTGTATTATGAATGTGCTCTGGAGTGTTGGGCTCTTGGCATTTCCGTTCTACGGGTTTCGCTTTTCAGTTGTGTGGGTCTTTTTTTCTTTCTTTTTTTTTTCGCTGTGCGGACTTGTGGACTTATAGAGCTGTTTACGGCTTTTACACTTCCTGGCCAAAGCGTTCGTGACTATGCAAGTGGGTTCTTATCTGGAGGAAGGTGCTCCGATTCCGATTCCTATTCCTATACCTATTTCCACTCCGCTAACGACGTGTGTTCGCTGTCATCATGTTCGGGTTCGTAGTCGTTGGCTTTTCAGTAGAGAGTCTGGCGATAATACCCGGCCAAAGGCAAAAGCGTAGACTTTCCGTCGCGACACGGACATGTATTCACATGTGGGCATGCATCACCTCCGTATTTTTAACCCATGACGCTATCAGGTGCCGGGGACTCTAGAGTGGTGATATATATACTTATAGCGACGATCGCCCAGATTAAACTTAAAAGTAAAGGGGTTTTCTGCCTAAAAGATAATGCCACTCTGACGACAATCGTTCTGTGGGTGGTAAAAAAAGATCACACTTGTCGTTTATCACTCTACTTCAGGGTTACATTTAATACACTGTCTTGCGTGTCGATTTAAAATGAATTTTGCAGCACAAAAAACATATTAATAATGGAGAAATTCAGTCAAATTTAAATTCATTTTTATAATTATTTGGATCAATTGCAAATTAATCATTTTTCCATTGTGCTTACGTGATTTAAGCATTCATAAATTTAGGTATGTTAAAATTGATCTCATTTCAGCAGCTCACTTTATTTATATGTTCAACTTAAAATAAATTTTGAAAAACTGGAAATCTAAAATTAAACATTACCAAAAAAAAGTTTTGTGTATTGGGGTGAAAACAGGTCAAGTCTCCCTGTCCCGAAAGGTTAAATAAACCCTTTTATTCCCTCTTAAATCTGTAACTGTCTGCTGCTTTAATTTAAATTTATTTAAAACTCATCTATACATATATGTATTGCGAAATCCAGTTTAATTTTTTTTGTTCGCAGTTGAAACAAATTAAATTACTCGAAATGTATTTTTTATTGTTTGTTTTATTTACTTATTCCCCTCTTTTTTTTGTGAGTTTGGGGAGTGGCATTCCCACGCCACATCGAGCAGTAAATATTTACTTCAGATAAAGTAAGTATGCGCGTTTTTATTTTGGGGGGAAAACACTTCGCTGCTCCACATGTCGTATACGTGACGAAAGCTCAAGAGGAAGATCAAGTATACGCCCCTTGGTCGCCATTTTTGTTAGTTTTCCCAGCTCAGCTACTAATTTCTCGCAACAACAACAATCGCACACAACTAAAGCGCAATTAAACAGAAAAGGAAAAAAAAACAACGGAAACAAAGGCGAGCAAAAAACTTAAAGTTGGGCGAAGCGCCGCCCACAAAAACCGCAAAACAAAAGGCATCAGCAAATCATGAGCGGAGATGAGGGAGATGGCAAATCATAATGCTTATTTACATACATATGTACTGGTAACATACACACTGCGCACAAATCAAATTACTAAAATTCTCTGTTTATGAATACATGCGTTTATATTTTTATTTTATCAAAACCATCCTTTGATAAAACCATTAAATTTTTCATGTTTATGAAGCGATTTTAATGCATTATTAATTAATTTATTAATCTTATCTTTGTTTTAGATTTTTTTCTAGTAATATTGGATTTAGGACGATTTTTAATGTAATAAATTAATAATAATTATTTTTGTATTTTCTACATTATTTAAAGGATACCTTTCTCTTTAGAGCAATTAAGGTTGTCTTGGTGAAATTCTAGCGTTTAAGTAGTTACTTACTTGTCTGGCCAATTGAAGGGTTGTATAATCCTGTCGTTGATGCTGCTGCTGCGTCTGATGTTGCTGCTGTGTCTGATGTTGCTGGTGCGCTGTTGCTGCTGCCGCTGTTGTTGTGGGGGCCAGGAATTGCTGCTGTTGCTGCTGCTGTTGGCACGGGTAGAAATGATTGCTGGATTGGGATGTTGTTGCTGGCACTAGATGTTGCTGTTGCTGCTGCTGTTGCGTGTAGCCGTTGTAATTGGGTTGCAAGTACTGAGGTTGTTGCTGCGCCAAGTGATGCTGATTGTAATTGACATTCATGCTGTTATTGTTGTTAATGTGGCGCTGCTTATTGCAATCGGTTATCCAGGAGGCGGCACGCAGTTGTTGTTGCTGCTGCAACTGCAACATTGCGTTGTTGTTGTTGCTACTGATATTGTTTCCCCAAATATAATTATTATCAGGCGAATTGTGCTGCTGTTGAAGCTGCTGTTGCTGCTGATGTTGCTGCAGCAGTTGGTGTTGCAGTTGTTGCTGCTGCTGCTGCAGTGCGTTGTTGCCGCCGCCGCCGTTGTTGTGCTGCATCTCGATAGCCTTTATTGCAATCATTCAACGGGCAACAAATTGTCAGCGTTTATCACAAGATGTTGCAATTTCCTGCTCTCCTTTGTTTATTATTTTGTATTTTTGCGAACTTATTTTTGGCTTGATTTATCGCTGGTTGTTTTTTGTTTGCTGCATTTACTACACGTATTTTTAATTTTACGAAACTTATTTACACGCTTTTGTTTCGTTGTTTTGGGTGTGTTTGTTTTTTTAGCTATATTTAATTTTTGGCAATTTGTTTGGACTGAGCGTTTTTTTTATTTCGTTATTGTGAAGGCACTATAAAATATTTTTTATACCATTTTGGCTCTCCTTAAATTTTATTTCGATGACGACCTGCTGTTAAATTGTTTTGAATTATTTCCATGCTCAGTTATCTTTTCTTGTATGTTTTTATTGGCTACTAAATTAAGTATTCTTAATGACTGTAGGTTTAAATTATTTGTTTTGGCTAAAGGTTTTTATTATAATGATTATTTGATTTTAAGTTCTTGATATCTTATTACAGTATTAAATACTTTCATTTATTGCTTTTATTGACTTTAACGACTTTGGGTTTTTAGCTTTAGTTTGTTGGTCAGAATTCTTCAAACTTATTTACAAATTGTGCAATGCGGAGAAAAGGTTTTATTGTTAGTAACTGAATTTCACAGATGATGAGTCAACTCCTACTTCATTTTTTATTTTTTCACCACAAATTTGTTTTATTATTTTGCACGCCCACTTGGGAGCGATCGATTTTTCGCCCTTTCGATCAATTTGCGATTTTTTACGATTTTTTTTCGATCAGCACGTGCGGGCCAAGTGGCTGGGTAACGGTAAACGAGGCGTAAACAAACACCAAATCGGGCAAACAAACACGGATTAAATTACGTGATTTAGCTATAAACAGGAGAGTCGTATCGACAAAAAACCAGACACAGCATGTTCTTGTTAGTTTTATTTATTTGTTAACATCCAGACGTTCCAGTTGATACGTATGTATTTTTTTTGCATTATTTTTCCAATTAAATTAAGCACTGCACGTTCTTATTCGCGTTTTCTGTTTCGGAATTATTTTAATTGTTTTTAGGGCCAGGACTGACTCAAAAAAGACATCCACACGGCAGCGCGGCAGAAAGTGTATTGAAACTGAACATGAAAATTTGGATAAACCTGCGCTCAAAGGCGCACACACTCGCACACACTCAAACGAGCCGAAGGCAGGCGACAAAAACCGAAGTACATTCGCGATCACTTTGTTTTTGTTTTCTTTTTTTTTCTTTTTTTTCGGGGGGCTTTCAATATTTTTCGCTGCGCTCTGAAACCAGGTAAAACTGCGCTGAAAGGCTACTAAAATACGAAAACCCCAAAAAAAATAAGAAATATATATAACACACAAACCGAAGAAACAAATTATTACGAGGCTCGTTTTTTCGCTTTTTTTTGTGACTAATCGCATGTGCGGTGGTCCACAGTGTTTGATTTTCGCAAAAAGGTGTTTGTTGTTTTTTATAGGCTCTCCGTATTTGTTTGTTTGTTACGATTTGGCGCCAATTGGCTAAAATCAGCGATCCGCTCCGTTCGCTGGCTCATAGATCACTGCGAATTGTCGTCGCCGACGTCTTCTTGGCTGCCCTGCGCCGACGTCAGCGGCAAAAAACTATGACTAATCCATACTGGCACGCGGCGGCAGCTCCCCAACTACAATAACAATATGTAGAACAGGCGTAGTGGCAGCGACAGCAACAACAACCACCACAACTACAACAACAGCAAGTGCGATCGGAAGGTGGGAGATTTTCAGGAGCAAAACAAATGGGTGATATATCATACAGCAAAAACAAATATCAGGATCAAATATTTGTGTAGCATTATATGAAAAAGTCAGAAGAAAAAAGGTAGAGTTAAAAATAAAATAAATAATAAAATCCAAAATAAATGCAAAAATAAATATAAAATAATGGTATTAAAATAAAATAAATTAGGATATTTGCCATCTCATTGTAACTTTAAACAAACAGTTCGTAATAAAAAATATTTGTAAACATTTACCCACTTTCAGATAAGTTTTTTAATTTAATGCACACAAATATTAAAGTAAGTGGAATGTAAAGAATATAAAAACTAAAAACAATTTGTATTTACAAGATGAGTCACTTTTTAAGTAATGAGACTTTTATGTAAAAAATAGTTTTTTATTTTAACTGCAATTTGCAATTTGATTCTTTAAAATGGCTTTTCTGGTTATTGAATTCAATAACTGAAATCTTTCAAAGGAATTCATTGTTTTTAAGTATGGACAGGAAATGCCACTTTCTTTTTTTAAATTTAAGATAAGACTTAAATTTAAATACATTATTCATCGTAAATTCTACTTAAACAAACTTGAATAAATATGTTCCCGGAAAAAGGATGATAAAAAATAAAGTATATGCTATGTAAAGAATTTTTTAATCTTTTGTTTTTTAATTATTTTTCTTTAATTAATTTAGCCCGAAAATAGCTAAAAAAGTCAGCACTGCCTGGGTATTTTTCAACCGCTCCCTCTCACCTGTGTTCAAAATTTTGTTTTGCTGATTTTTAATCTATGCAACAACAAAAGCAACAACCACAAAAGGGGATCACAAAAATATGCGCGACGTGCCCACTTTTTTGAAGCAGCGAAATTTGTTCTTGTTTTTTCTTTTCTTTTTTTTGTAAATGCATTTTAATCAGTGATTTGTTGTTGTTGTTGCCTTTATGCGACACCTTGCGAAAATGCAAATGATCCTGGCACACACACAGATACAATAGTGCAAATACATTGACAAACTGTCACGCTCTCTGCTCTCTTTCTCTTACTCACCCCCGCTCACATTCGCTCTGTTCTCTTCTCTCACCCTGTCTATCTCTCTTTTTTACCTGTGCGAATGTTAATTGAAGAATTTATTGTTGTCTCATTGTTGTATTGTTGTTGTATTTTAGCCTGGCGACGGCGGCGGCCGCTTTTTTTCAAATTTTATTTGTCGCGTTTAATTATGACAACAACAACAGCAACGACAGCGCCAGCCGATCATTGACTTTTCTGCTCTGGCGTCACATAGTTTTTGTTTTTGTATAGCTGCCTGCGTTGTGCCTCTGTTCTTACTGTTGTTGTTGTTCCTTGCTGCTGGAAGGTTTTTTGTATTTTGTTAAAAGAGAGGGGGTGTTAAATGGTGTGGGGGAGGGGGAGAGGGAGAGGGGGCCACAGAGTGGGTGGCGAAGAGAGCGGGAGAGCAGAATGAACTTTGGGCCGGTTACCGTTTAGCTTTTTCGCTTGACAACAAAAGGGAGAAAGGCTGCACGGCAAGCAAATAAGATAAACTAAATAGAAAATAATAAAAACACAAATATATTTATTTTTTGTGGGATTAAAAATTAATTAATAAGAAAACAGCAGGATTTTTTTAAATTTGTTGGCATAATTTGGCTAAATAAAATGTCTAGGCTAAAAGAATAACAGTTTTGACCACCTTTGACCTTATCTATTAATCCATGTCTTTTCAGATTGGATAAAAAAATGTGGAATTCAGGATCTTGGATACAAATTATGATACATTTCAATCAAACCTACTTGTCCGAATTATATTTATGACACAACAATCTCAGCAACTCAAATTTACCGCCGATCATGTGAGTAATTTTAAAATTAAATGTGTTTAATTTGATGAAACTCGAATTTCTCTTACACATTTTTTTTCTCTGTACCAGCGAATTAAAGGGTTTTATTTCATTCTTGATTAAAATTAATAAAAACGCGGAATTTACATATTTGGACAGCCCCTCAAAACAATTGGTGGTCGCAAACATTTTTAATCCAGTTTCAGTTCCAGTTTTATGCCACCCCACAGTCACCCTCCCACTGCAAAAACTTGGCGAACTTTTGGCGACCCGTTGACATGTTAATGACACTTTTATAATGCCAACAACAACGACAGCAACAAACAAGGCAGATCGCAAACTCAGCCAACAAAAACAAAGGCGGATGCAACATTTCTCATTGTTTATGGAGCGAGGAGCGAGCGAGGATACAAATTGTTTTTTTCCGTTTTTGGCGAGGGAGCGGTCCCATCGGCGCAAATACTTACGCACATGTAAATACCACTGACTATATACCTATATATATAAATACACTGCAATAAATACTGAAATCGGATAATCATTAGGAAATTTTAAATGAATAAAACAATAAATATAAAAAACATTAACATGAACGTGAAATAAATATGATTGAATTAAATTGTAATATTTAAATTTTTAATTTTATAAACTAATTAAGATTGCTGAGAGTATATATTACTTACATTTTCTTTTCTACAAATTTCATTTTTCTGTTTTCTCTCCTTATATTTAAATCACCTTTTTGTAACAAATCAATATTATTTTTTTTCCGTGCACCGAATGCATTTATTCCATTGACGTGTGGCGAGATTTTAAGTCATTTTTGATGTACGATTTGTTCTTGTTGTTGTTACTGTTGTCATATATTTTGTGTATATTTGAGTTAATAATACGCGCGAAAGGTAACGGGTACAGTGAACTCGAAACACGTACAGTACGTACACCTTTAATTGCACTTCATATGTGCGCTTGTGTGCGGCACTCAATGAAACAGTCTGATTCTTCGAGTTTTGGCATAGGTATAGGTGCATCTCACATTACGAATATTGGGAGTCAAAACAAAAGAAGCAACCCAAGAGATTGGAGAAGAATTCGTTGAAGAATTCGGGCGGTGAAGAACAGAAGCCGTTCTGCAGTTGCCGTGGGCGTTCCAAATCGCACGACTTCAGCGGCTACTTTTGGGCGCTAAAAAGACAGTGTCTTCGCTACACAAAAAAAAATACCAAGATATCAAGTTCTAAAAAAAATCATAACCGATCCTTATAACCAGGGACCGTAACTGTTATAAGTTTTATTTTAAAAAACACACTTTAACAGTTATTTTCTGATTTGTAAAGTAAAACTCAAAGAATAACTGTTATTTTTTGAGTTTTATAATAAAAGTTGACAAATAACAGTTATTCGTCGTGATCAAAAATAAAACTCAAACTTGATTTTTGGCGATTTTGTGGGTAAAATAAATTTAAAAAAAAATATAGTTATAAAATATGCGCGGTTGCCTTTTTTAATAAATTTTTAGTAAGTTATATATATTAGTAAGTTTAGTAAGTTATATAGTTATATAT